TAAAGTATGTATATTTTACACACATACATATATAGTCTAGTTGTATATTTTTCAACTGGTGGATCGTATATCGGAGAGAGTTTAGGAGTTATGTAAAAGGGAATTTTTGAGTCCTAAATATTGCTCTCATCTACAGACTGAAATAAATGTAGTTGGCATCTATAAAAGTAAGTGTTCAAGCATATGAAATAGTAGTGAAACACAAACTTAAAAGTGTGACCAAAGTCATAGTAGGTTGCTTCATGATAAGTTTTTCTGTCAATGGATGCTGTCAGGGACTAGAAGGAAATTCTCCTTCAAAGAATAGCCTGACAGCCCCCTGGGAGACATCCTGCAGCTACCTATCTCCCTGGAACATCCTGCAGTTATCAGGATCATCAGACATCTTGCAGCTGGCAGTTTCACCACCCACATCCAGCAATTGCTGATTAGAGAGCTTCCCCATCCCCAGCATACAAATACCCCTGTGTGAACAATAAAAGTTTGCAGCTTGGTCAGACTCCTGTCTTGCTGTCACCTTTGGTGTCTCTTGTCCCTTCATTCCTCCCCATCTAGGTTCGCTGCCCACGTTGGTTGATGTGTCCTGCCGTTGATGTGTACTGCCGGTTGTTGATGTGTACTGCCGGTCGGGACAGATGATAATTATAACTGCCCTTATGCAAGCTTAATTATTTGATGTTAGGAAAGGGCTCCACATACTTGAAAATATTAGCCAACATTAACCTAGCCAAATATATCTCAATACTTTATAGTTTTGGAAAAAAGGATTTCAAATGGAAATGCTGAATTGAAGATGGATGTAGTAGTCTAGAATTTCTGGAAAGTCTGGACTTAAAATATAAATTGTGGAGTCATCAGCATGTAATATTGTTTCAAAGTCATGAGTCTTGATTTGATTGCTGACTGAGTGTTGCTCATCACTCAGATTACAGATTTAAAAAATAGGAGGGGTTTTATAGATTTTTAAAAATATAGGAGAGGCTCAAGGACCAAGCTTAGATTTCTCCAATATTAAGAGACCGAGATGATATTCAGGAATAAGCAAATTAGAATGACTGCTGAAAAAAAAATAGAAAATCAAGATGATATGTTTCCTGGAATTCAAATGAATCAAGCATTTAAAGGGAAGAGAGGGTGTTTAATTGTGTAGAATGTTGCTGTCAGGCTGACTAAGGTGAGGACTGAGATTGGCCATTGGATCTTACAATAGGACCATCACTGGTGACTCTGGCCAGAGTAGTGTTGGTAGAATGTGGGAAGAGAATAAAGCAAAACTGGAAATGAGGAATTTAGAATTTGGAATTAAAATAATTTTGCTGTGAAGGTAAGGAAAATTAGAACAGTAGATGGAGGAAGAGTAGAATCCTAGAGTCAAGAGGGTTTAGTGTAGTTGTTATCTTGGTTGTTTTTATGATGGGAAAAATAATAGCATGATCGCATACTGAGGGGAAAATTCCTAGAGAGAGCTACTTCACATCTGTTAATGCTACTAATTAATCTCTTCCTGTTTTTAAGCTAGATTACATCTCTCTCTCTCTCTCTCTTAGAATTATATCTATTTTTAATAATTAAGCTTTCCGACTTCCAGGAACGCTGAATGCTATCTCTGTGTCCTGCCTCTACCCTATTTTTCTTCAAACTACTATTTAGGTCAACAAAGAAATCCTCACTGGCAGTGCTAATGGTTAATTTTTTCCACTATCTCTGCTTAGTGGGATGATTCTGATCTACCCTCTTAATTGTTGCTACTCTTCTAGTTGGTTTATGGGTCATCACCCTCTCCTCAGTCTCCTTTCCCCTCCCTCAGTGCCTTCTCAGCTTATTTTGCCTGTTCCTGCTCTGCCTGCCCCTCAGCAGTTGGCAACCCTGAGGCCCTGTCTTGATTCTCCTCTCCGTGTACTTCAGGGTTATCAGCTCCAGTCCAGTGCCTTCAATTTCTAAGCTATTCATGGCTCAATAACTTATAGAAAAATGAGGACATCTGCATTGACTGTGTGCCAGACACTTTGCTACCTTTATATCTGCCTTGTCTCACTCAATCTACACCACTCCTCTGAGCATTCCTGACTTCACTTTCAAATAAGGAAATTTAATGCTCAATAAGGCTCCAAATCTCACCTAATCCCACAAGTTAGTAAATAGCAGAACTTTGAACCCATAGTCTGTTTGACTTTAAAGCTGTTGTTATAACGACTGCATTTTATTCTCCTCTAAATCTCTAACTCAGTTAATCTTAGTTTTAGATGGGGACATTCGACTACCTAATGTATATAACTTAGCATTTCCACCTTAGTGGAGGTTAAACTAAACTCATTACTTGCCTCTTACTCCAGTCCCCTTTCCATACCAGCCAAATGTCCCTATATCAATACCTCCTCCTCTAATATTCCTTATTTCTTATCATGATGTCTCCTTCAATTCATTCTTTAAGTCTAGAACATTTTGGATTATTCTTTTTTTGGGGGGGTATTTCTCATATAATCTTTTTTTTTATTAGTTACACATGACAGTACAATGATCTTGACATTTCATATATTTGAATCAAATGGGGTATAATTTCTCATTTTTCTGATTGTACAGGTTGCAGAATCACATTGGTCATACAGTTTGGATTATTCTTAATCCCGCATCCTTAAATTTGTTGGTCTCCAAGTCACTGGAGAGGTGCCTCTACATGGCAGTACAGGTGACATTTTCCTCTGCTTCCTAACTGACATCTTGCTGCCTGGCTCTTTACCACAGTTGATCTGCCTCACAGGTATCAGGATTAGCTTTGGAAAAAGTCAATCTGATCCTTCTACTTCACATAAAAATCTCTCATGGCCCTTGTCACTACAGAAGCATCTTCATTCTCCGTAGAATATCACTCTATAAATGATCTTACCTTCCTTTTTAGTCAGAGACATCATGAACATATGCAAAGGCTTATATTTCAATATATACATAGATACTTCTTTTGCTAAAGGAAAGAAAATTAGTTTCAAAATCTTTGCTAAAGTTTAAGTACTTTAGCAACTAAAAATAAATTACTACTTATTTTTCTCAATGGGTAACTAAACATATAACTATTGTCATGTAAGTCTTCTCAATTTTTTAAGTCAAAAACCACTCTTATTCAAAACTATACACCAACAATAATTTCATGTAAAAACTCTCATTTTAACTAATATTCTCATCTAGGTTTGTTCTTTGGCTGTGGATCTTGAAATTAACACTTACTAATTTTGCATAAAAAACTTTGGGAACATAGGAATGAGAGAGTGGAAATGGTGAAGGTAGGGATACTGACACAAGGGTCTTTTCAAAACAGGATCAAGATGAATTTGTTCTTTTTTTTTTTTAATGTGCTTATTCACCTGAGGAACATTTAATCTAATTTGGATATATGCACAAACTTAAAAGGTTCAATTTTAACTTGATAAGTAAAGAAATATTGAATGTAGGGTTATTTCAAAATTTGTTCTTCATTAATATTCACTTTTTGCTTTTATTGGTACATGATAGTTGTACATAATAGTTGAGTTCGTTTTGACATAATCATACATGCATGGAATTTAATTTACTCCACTTTGAATTCGTTCTTAATAGCCTAATTAGACTAAAAAGAATTCTTTATGGTCTTTTATTAGATTCCAAGAAAGGGATTCAGGTAAAGCTTGACAATGAAAGATTATATTTGGTAACATACTAAACATATCTGGTACCAGACCTCAATATTCTAGTCTTTCATTAATGTGTTTCAATGAGGCTAGTAGGAATTTACAGTCTCTAAACACTCCTGCAATTTCTCACACATGGGGCCACCTGGTATCCAAACTATAATATACTCCAACTTACTTATCCCACAGCAACTCAATGGTTAGTAATTTAACAAGCTTTTTTTTTTCTTCCAAATGCATTCTTCCCATTTCCTGCAGCTTCCCCTCAGCCCTGTTGCATTTAATTTTTCTTGTTCTTTTATAAGGGAATCTCTTCTTCATGGGCCCTTCCCATTTGTTCTATATACTGGCTCCAGCTGTCCTCAGGGACAAATCAAGACTTTTCATGTCTCACTGACATTTCTTGGAAGGGCTTTTTACCTGCTGAGCCTGTTGTGCAGCTTCCTGGGGAGACATGAGCACTCTGGAGTCACCACATTAGGTTTGAAACACTTGGCTCAGCCATTTAGTAACTTTTTGGTATTGGTATTTTAATAAACCTTATTGATCCACTTATCACATCCTTAATTGTTAAAAGAGAAGAGTAATTATTATTTTCCATGGTTGATGTAGCATACAGATAACTTATACTGAAATGCACTGCACTTAGGAGGTCCTTGATAAATGGCAGTTAATGTTATTATAACAGTTTCTGCTCCAAAATCATCTGCTCTGTGAGCTTTACTCTGAACCATACTTAATTGTTCTCTGTGTTCATGGTGCTCTGTTCTTAAGTCCTTTAAAGCAACAATTACTCTGATTCTAATTACTGGTTCTTACGTATAAATTTTTAATCTTTCATATCAGACTATTTTTTCTGTTTCTGTGTCCCTTCACCCTGCCCCCAGCTCTGTCAGTGTTTTCTTATCTATGCCTCACCCCAGGCTAAGTCTTCTTTTATTTGGGACTAAATAGATGTTTTGTAGGAAGAGTAATTAGTTCCTAGTTCCATAAAATCTAGAGTTCTACAAAACAAATAATGTACACAATCTATGTTAATAGTTCATCATTTGTTTTACCAAATGATGAATTTTAAGGCAGTGCTGGTCCTAGTGTTTTTAAAATGGAAAGTTCCTCTCCCAAATTCTCTGTGCAGATTATGAATAGGAAAAATATTTAATTTAAGGGTAACAGGGTAACACTCCAATATGAAAATTGAAATAAAATCTGGAAAAGAAAATACATTTAATTATAAATGAAAATATTCATGTTTAGTAAAAATAACAAAATTTATGCCAGCCCCTTACTCCTTTATCAGCATCTCTAGGACAACCCAGTTATTCTAATCGTTTTTCTCCATAGGCACATTGAGATGAAAATAGGAGGACTTGGTTTCACATTCTGTGTCTACAAGTGCAGGTACGGTGAATTTGAATAATTTACTTCTAACTGACCCTGATGCAAAAATTTCCACATTGTAATGTTATTTTTACTTTAAAATATTAGATTGGTAGTGTAGGATGGCAATGAATTAACTTCCCTCCCTCAGTACCATGGCTCTCATGAGCTCTTATCACTTCATGACTTAGAATTTCAGGGCTTGAAGGAAGTCTTTCAGGTTTTAGTTTCATTATTTTAAAGATGGAGAGATAGGCTAGTATGCACAAGGCTCTGTGTTTAATATCCCCAGCACTGGGGGACAATTCTACAGATCAGATAAAAGATGGAAACCTAAAGAGCTCATAGGATATACTAATAGTCACTCAAGTAGTTGTCAAATTCAGGCAAGAATTCAACCTTTTCTTAAAGTGAAATGTGTCAAAAGCCAAGTATAATAAGGAATATAATTGAATCAAATATATGTCTAGGAGCCACTTAGCGGTATTTGCTGAGCTCTGAGTACTCAAAAGGTGAAGACATCAACACAACCAGGAAGGTCGCAAGCTGGTTGAGTGGGAATACAACCACGACCCATCACAAAATACAAATATACTGAGATATATATCTACAGGAAGGCAAATTTAATGCTGCCTGGAGGTAGGCCGAAGAACACAATAGCCATCCTTTGAGCTATTCTTCTCCCCATTTCTGATTATTATTTTAGCAAATGCTTACATATCTACATGTATCTATCAGACTGTCTCTTAGAAAAGGAGAACTCAAGACTTTAAATTAAAGGTATGAGAAGATCTGCTTCAGTGGGGACACTGCAGCCCAAATCGGTGATGATTTCCCTAGGAACAAACCAAGTACCGAAGGCCTTCTAATTGCCAGACGGTCAGGTAGTCCTAGGTACCAGGATGGCACTTAGCCAGACCTCTGAAGCGATCCTTTAACAGGTAACCCAACACCTCAAGGAAACGGAAGCACAGTCGCTCCTCCTCGCTCCCTAGCACTCCCCGCCCTCCGCCCCGCCTTGGGCCCCGCCCTCCGCCCCGCCTTGGGCCCCGCCCTCCGCGTCTGCAGGCCCGCACCGGAGGCCACGCCCCTGCGCGCTGGTTGGTCCTCGCCGGAATGATGAAACTTCCCGCACGCATTACAGGAGCCAGGCGGCTGTAAACCGAGAAGAGGCCGACGGTCCCCCCAGCACTTCACAACCTTGGTCTCCTTCCCTCTGCCCGTCGGACCCATTCACTACTAGGTAAGCCGGGGCCGCTTAGCGCAGCGCCCTTCGTGTGCCCGAGAGGGCGAGGTTGATGTGTAGCAGCCTGGCACCCGTCACATGCGGCTCCCTAGCGCCAGGCGGATGCTGCAGCGCCGGCAGAGGACCGAGGGCGGGGCTGAAGCCTGCGATTGTTGCGCACCTGGCCCCAGCTTGGTCAGGGAGGACCTCCGTCCCGGTCCTGAGGGTTTGACTGAATGGCGACCCGGGGCCAGGCTGCTTGAGAGAGAAGGTAGCGGCAGCCAAAGTTTGGCCTCAGTAAATGTTATTATTTTTAACCATATGGCGTTGAATCCTGTGAAATTGTAGCAGTCCCAGGGCCCTGCTGCGGACCTGCGGGAGCGTGCACGTGGCCGGTGCGCCGTCGGGTGTGGAGGGGCGATGCAGTGTAGTCCGGGTTCAGGAGAGGAGGGCTCTGGCTTGGCAGTCATCGCCTGGAAGCCTGTACGTGTGTGTCTACTCCTCCCCCACCCCTTTCCCACCCCATGTCCCACCCCTGGACTGTAGACCAGCCATGCTCAACAAGTGACTTGCTGAACAAACCCTGCCAAGAAAAGAGCTGTTTAGGGAAATAGGAGGCTAAGTACCGAAAAAAGCAAAAGAACTACATGCCTGTACTGAATGGACAGCTGTTCTTCAGGGCTGGCTTCAGATTAATGTTACTCTTTTAAATAAAGGGAGTTTTCTTCTCAGCCTATGGCCTACATTATTTCTTCATTTCTCTGGGTGCTTGAGTAATAATTTGGAAGCACTGAAAAACTATTTTTTCATTGATAACATTACAAATAAGGTGGGTCTTGCACCTGTCCCTTAGTTGGTTACTGAGATCATAAGTAAAAACTAAGCGATCTGAGGAAGTTTAAGTAATTGGTAAGCACAGAAACTAAATACACTGAAGTGGCTAATTTAGTAGCTGTCATGTTATCTTGTATTTTGAACATTTAAACTGCTGGCTGGTCTGAATTGGAGATGTGCTGTACATGTGAAATACACCAGATTTTGACGAATTTAGTAGGAAAAGTAATGTAAAATATCTCATCATTTTTTTTCATATTGATTTCATGTTGAAATCAATTATATGTTGATATTGTTTGGGGTATATTGTGTTAAATGTTTTAAATTCCACCTTTTGTACTTTTTAATGGGGCCACGTATGTGGCTCATATGGCTATTGCATAGCACAGCTGTGTAAGTTTAGAAGGTAATATGGAAAATGACTGGGAACAGACAAAAGCAGTAAGGAATAAATATAGCAGATAAGATGACCTTTGCTGACTTATAAGAGTGATTCCAGTAACTATAAAAAAATAGGTTATGGCTTTAATTTTTTTTTTTACTTCTAGAGAAATAAGTATGCTTCACAAAATTTTGTTCCTCTTTTCCCTTTAATTTAGTGGTTAGGGTGTGTTTCCCTGTTACCGGCTTAACACTGGAATTCACTAGTTAGCATTAAGAAGTTTAAAGTAAATGCTTCTGATGATCACACTTGATTTTCAAAGCACTTTCCTACCCTATTTGTAACCTTCATAGATTGTTTATCAGTAGTTATCTTAAGTGGTAGTGAATCTTTCACTAAATTGGTAATTCTTTCATTTTAGGCTGTTTGGCCAAGTGCATGCAAGGGACTGCATAGGACTTGTGCTACTTCATTTCCAAACTGCTTAAGTTGGTACCATTTTCCATTATTTTGATCAGGTCTTAAAGGGCAACTAAAGCTTTGTTTCATTTTAAATGTCCTCAAAGGATTGCTCAAAGTGAATGATGTAATTTGAATATATGTTATAGTATATAGTGTGCTTGTCCCAAATTATCTGGACATTTGCTGCAGATTTGCATTTTTAAAAAATATAAAAGTAGTTATTTTTTCAAGTTACAGATATTCAATTAAAATAACTGAGCTGGCAGACCAAATGAAGTAGCCTTTTATTTCATAGTTGATAATTTGAAATTGGAAATTGAATTAACATTTTTAAGGATTATTTACTTTCTGGGTTATAGGAATGTGCCAAGTGTTTTTTAATTTTTTTTCCCCAGGGATGTTGCTATATACTTTGCTTTCTTACTGACCAGTGTAGCCTTGACACCAAAATATTTGAGAACATTTTTGTCATCTAGGACATTTTGATAGTGAAGATTTTGTATCTTGTGTCAACGAAGAATGTTTTGTTAGAATATTTAATATCAGATTATATTGCTTTCTGATTCTTCAATCACATTTGAATAAATTACTTAGAGGTAAGCTAGAAGATACGAAAATCTTGCAAGAACTGTATCTTAATATTATACTTAGCATATACCATCTCTATTATACTTGCCATATTCTTCCTACAGTTAGTATAGTTAGAGGGCATTTAATTGTCTAGGACACCCAAGAGGAAGTTTCCTGGATTGTTGAGGGCTTTCCTGGAGTGGAAAAAGTTTGGCTAGGCTGGAAGCAGCCTTTATGCATGTCTATATCTTGGGAGGACACCTAGGCTGCAAAGACTGAATTTTACCTGGATGCTGCCAGCTGTAGTTGACCACCAAATCATAAGGTGGGAAGAGATGTAGATTTTGCCTGGGTGCAAAAGAAAAAGCTGCTGTAGCTGGTTAGGTGCAAAGCTCATCCATCCTTTTTGCATACTTCTAAGTAAATCAAATCTTCTACTTCTGTGTGTTTGCCAATGTAATGGAAAATTACTGTAGATAAGATGGTTTATGTTTCACCCTTTGAAGTGGTTAATGTAGGTTTCTAGAATGGAGGATTAATCAGACTTGGATTGGATGTTGAATATTTGATTGGTCTGCTTTTCTCTTCATAGAAAGTTTATAGCTTCATTGCACCATGTGTGGCATTTGGGCCCTCTTTGGCAGTGATGACTGCCTTTCTGTTCAGTGTCTGAGTGCTATGAAGATTGCGCACAGGGGTCCAGATGCATTTCGTTTTGAGAACGTCAATGGATATACCAACTGCTGCTTTGGATTTCACCGGTTGGCGGTGGTTGATCCACTGTTTGGAATGCAGCCAATTCGACTGAAGAAATACCCTTATTTGTGGCTCTGTTACAATGGTGAAATCTACAACCACAAGGCGGTAAGCAAAAACCTCAAAACTAGTCAGGTGTTTGTTATTTTGTATAATGCTTTTTTACTTTTTACATTTGCTCTAGTCATACAAGTGTACAAGACACTGATACACAAAGAGGTGAATTTTCTTGGTCACCAATAATAATAATAATAATAATAATTCAACTCTTAGAATTTTTTCTATTAAAATTTTTAATATTAATTGTGCCTGTGCTGTTTTCTGTATTAGATACTGGAGTTACAGTGGTAAAGAAGAGGGGTAAGATTGCATTTAAGTGGAGCTTATTATGGAATGTATAGAGGGAAAGTATCATAATATCTACAACATATTCTCATGTAATTCATCTAAATAATGACCTTGTGCATTTGTGTACGAGATATTATGCAAATATGGGCAAATATTAACAGTTGATTTAATCTAGGTGCTCATTGCTTTAGTCTGCATATTTAAAATTTTTTCAAAATTCAAAGTTGGGAAAGGAGGTAAGCAAAAATAACTTGCAAATTGAATATGAATTTTATATGAAACTCTAGCCAAATAATCCTAGATTGGAAGTTCTTGTCAAATTCAGTATTTGGAAAAAAAAAAAAAAGAAAAAAAAATTCGGTATTTGGGTCCTCTTTGGCACTCATGACTGCTTTTCTGTTCAGTGTTTTTGCTGTAGAGGTTGTACATAGGGGTCCAGGTGCATTTCGTTTTGAGAATGTCAGTGGATAAAACCAGCTGCTGCTTGGGGTTTTACTAGTTGGTGATGGTTGACCAGCTGTTTGTAATGCCCCCCATTTTGACTGAAGAAATATTAGGGAACAGGAAAAAATTTGTTCATATAATAGGTTTTCTGAAAGAACACATACACAGGTGATGAATATGGGACACCCGCATCCAGGATGGTGGTCAGAAAAGGGCTCTTGAAGCAGCACTTGAACTGAGACCTGATGGACAAGCAAGGTTGGGAAGATCACTCTCTTTAGAGGGAGATTGCACGTGGAATAGCCCTGTGGTAGGAAGCAGCCCTGGGATCGTAGTGAGTGAGTTTTAGGGGGAGGTAGGGAAGGTAGGGTTGGGAAGGTGGACAGGACCATGGAGCAGCACTTCATAGCCATGCTAAGAAGTAGGAATATTCTAAGGGCAGCAGCAGTTGAGGTTTTTAAGGAAGGTATGGAATTTAGTAGTTTGGAGATGACTATACTTACAGTGTTTACATAATACTGCCACTAAGTATTACTGTAGTTGCATACTTAATTAGAATCAAAGGGCAGAGATGTGGGTGGGCTGGATGCAGTCAAGTACATTAAGACTTTTAGCAGTACTAAAATTGGAACAACTTTCTAATCCAGTGAAGTTTATTCTCAGGGTAAGAGTGGGTGAGGGGATGGAAATTTGGATCCTAGGAAGCTGAATTTGACAAGAATCTTCTAATTCAAGATTATTTAGCTAATGTTTCACAAGTAATTTACATACAATTTATAAGTTATTTTTTATTAATTCCCCAACTTTTTATCTTGAAAAAGTTTCAAACATAAAAAAGAACAATGAGCATCTTGATTAAATAATTCTTAATATTTATTTGCTTTATCTCTTAAACACATGAATATATTCATTATTTGGCTGAATAATGTGAGAGTATGTTACAAATAGGAAGACACTTTCCCTCTCTCTTAAGCATTTGTCACCCAAGAATACACACATTCTTCCACCTAACGTCAATACAATTATTAAACCCAAGAATTAGTAATATAATCTAATATCCAGTTCATATTTAAATTTCCCAAGTGTCTCCTAAGAGTATTTTAAGAGCTGTTTGGGTTTTTTTTTTTTTTAATTTTGTTTTGTTTGGTTTTGAGGCATATTTTAGTTAAGGTTTAAGCATTTAGTTCTGATTTTTCTTGGTGTTTTTAGAGACTTCTTTATATATTCTATCGACATTGGTAGGGATTTATATTCTAGCCACCCTTTGGCTATTTTTACATCTGAACAATAGCTTTTGCCTTGTTGTTTGCTTATAGGAATTTTCTTAATAGACTTCTCATTTGCAGAGCTTTTTATTATTCATAAAATTCCTTTCACAGATTTATTAAGGGCCTATATACTTGGTCATCATTTTTCTAGGTACTTGAAGATGAAATGGGGAAGAGAAAAGGTAAGAATGGAGTTTCACACTAGTGGGAGTGAGAAGAGGGGAGCAGTTCAAATGTTTTTGGAAGTCAAATCAATATCTTATACATCATAGGAATACTACATTATACTATAGCAATATTGGCCTGGGTTTTCCCTTAAATGAAGTAAGAAATACCTTATTTTGTTTAAACAAATTTGCTGCTTGTTAATTTTGTTAATAAGTTATAAGTTAAATTTTTTTTTTTTTTCCTAAATCAGTTAAATATATTGAAATTTGCAGAGTTCTATTGCTTCTACCAAGTATCTTGAGTTTGGGCTGCTAGAAACCTACCTAAAGAGTAAAATAAATATTTTAGTCTTATCTAGAGTATTTGTAACATAAGCTACACTATGCTTTTTCTTTTTTTTTTTTTTTCTGGGGTCTGGGTGAAAATAAAGTATTGCTACTACAAAAATACAGACAGAGTGCTGGGATTGGAGGGAGACTGAATGAAGAAGTCTGGGGTCGACAACCACCAAGTCAAATGCCAGTATGACTTTGGGATGGTGGAAAGATATGGGACTTATCTAAAGGGAAACATTGAAGTGTGTTTTTAGGAGAGTAGCAAATGGTACTTAACCATTGAATTGTCAACCAAGTGACCCCTCTACTCTTTGAATAAATTGCCTGCAAGGTTTAGGTCAAAGAGAAGAGGTTAGAGATAGGGGAAGGTAGATTTGGAAAGCTGTTACTTGCTATTAACACCAAATGCATTAGGATTAATTATCCTTCAGGTATTTCTGCCCAGAAGGGTTAGCAGGAATCTTTTCAGATCCCACCTGTTAATGATAGGACCATCCTGGTAGTCTCTCAAAGCAAGGAGGAGTGACTAGGTGGTAGCACTGTAGAAGTAGCCAAAGCTCTTTTTTGTGTAGATTGTGAGTGCTTTTAGATACAAGGTTCAGATGTTAGGAAGTAAGCTAGACTGTGAAGCATATTTATAGGTCATACGTTATAGATTTACTTTTTGAAAATTGGAAGCATGTTCTGAATGTTTATGCTTATTCAAGCTTTCCACCTGATTTTGTTTCTGCTAACTTTTTTCTCTTGTCAGCCAACAATGTGAGTTTTAGTACAAAGAAAGCAGCACACACTAAGGACTTGACACCCTCAGAAGTTTGTCAGTGGTAGTGGAGAGCCACTGAATTAGCCACAGTTTAATCAAGCATTCTGCATGTGATGGCAGTGACCATCTCTTCTGTTCCTTTGGGGCATGTGGACTGATAAAGCCCCACTGTCATTTTCTCTATCAGTGAGGAGTAGCTTTACTGCCACTGCAGTGATGGAGTCTGGATGTGGTAGTTCACCCCTGAGGACAAGTAGCTTTGTTTTGGATTATGTATTTGTCATTGTGGTAGAGTCAGTTATTTGTCAGAAAGTGGTGTTTTTTTTGCTTTAAATTTTCACAGGTAGGTCTTTGAGGCTGATCAGGAAGAACCTTAGGCAATACTCTATTCCCAGACCAAAAGTTCATAGTTGCTGAAAACACATTTTTAGTGTCATTGTGTTTTGGCAACTGGGTGAACTGTTTCCTTAACTTAGGCATATGCAGTTAGCCCTCCAAGTCTGTGGATTCTGTATCCACAGATTCAACTAACTGGATGGAAAATATTTGGGGGGAAAATTGTCTTTGTACTGAGAATGTACATTTTTTTTTCTTGTTCCCTAAACAATATAGTCTAACAACCATTTACCTAGCATGCATTTATATTGTGTCAGGTATTATAGATAATCTAGAGATGATTTAAAGTATACCAAAGGATATTTGTAGGTTATATATAATAAACATTACAACATTTTATTTAAGGAATTCAAGCATCTGCAGATGTTGTTATCTGGGTGGGATTTTGGAACCAAACCCCCACGAATATTAAGTGATGACTGTATATGTAAATATAGGTGTATTACATACAGAGTATGTAAATAGTATGCATTTTCATCCCTACATGCCTTAACTGTTCTGGTACATTGCCACTGTGCATCCCATTTATTAGATAGCAACTAAGACAGTAACCTTATGTTGTAAAGAACTAGCAGAATCATAGGTTGAAATAAGCTGTATTTTGATAATGCCACGATTCTTCTAAACCACTAAAGTGCTTGAAATTTTTATAAAGCACAGAAATACTGAATCAACATTGTAATAAAAAGTTATTAGTGAACACACAAGCATGCTGACATTTTTATTTTGCTCTGTTTCTTAAGTTGCAACAGCATTTTGAATTCGAATACCAGACAAAAGTGGATGGTGAGATAATTCTTCATCTGTATGACAAAGGAGGAATTGAGCAAACTATTTGTCTGTTGGATGGGGTGTTTGCTTTTATTTTACTGGACACTGCCAATAAGAAAGTGTTCCTGGGCAGAGATACCTATGGAGTCAGACCTTTGTTTAAAGCCATGACAGAAGATGGATTTCTGGCTGTGTGTTCAGAAGCTAAAGGTAATGAGGGAATTTTTTTCGTTTGTGTTCTGGTTTTGTGTTTTCTTCTAAATCATATTTGATAAACCCTGGGGAGGAGCAATCACAATTTTACACGTGACTTTTATGGATCCTTAGAGCTATGTTTTCTTTTTAAACAGAGGAATGGGACTCCCTGTTTCAATATTTAAATTCTGTAATCCTTGAGGTATGAGTCTGTAGTACATTTATGTTTTTATTATGCTGATATAGTCTACATCTAGTTTGATCCTGTATGTATATGACAAGTTTTCCTGTGTCATATTGTAATCACAGGGTTGGCCCTGTAGTTATTGCACTGTGGAACTTTATCAGCTACTATCACAGATATGTGTAACCAGCACTCTAGATAATTTTAGAATATTTTTTGTCACCTCAAAAAGAAATCCTGTACCCTTTATCTATCATTCCTCTTCTCTATTTATTTGTTATCTACAACATTTCTTACCCTACCTTCTAGCCCCTGGCAAGTACCAATCTGCTTTTTGTCTCTATGAATGTCCTATTCTGGACATTCCATATGGATAAATTCATATCATTATATGGAATTTTGTGGATTCTTTTACTTAGTAGAATATTTTCAAGATTTATTTGTGTTGTGAGCACTTCCTTTTTATTGCCAAATAATACTTCATTACATACCACATTTATTTTTCCATTTATTAATAATACTGCTGTAAATATTTGTGTGCAAGTTTTTGTGGATGTATGTTTTTATTTCTCTTAGGTATATACCTAAGAGTGGAATTCCTAGATCATATGGTCACTGTATTTAATTGTTTGTGGAATTGACAGACTGTTTTCCAAAATGGCTGTATCAGTTTATGTTCTCATCAGCAACTTGTGAAAGTTTCAGTTCTCCATCTCCTCACACTTACATGTGAATATTTTGAGTCTAGCCATCCTAGTGTGTGTGACATGATATCTTGCTGTGTTTTTGGTTTTGTATTTCCCTTCTGACAATGATGTCAAGAATCTTTTCATGTGCTTATAGGCTATTTGTATATATTTGGAGAAATGTCTACAGAGTCTTTCCCAATTTTTTCTTCCTGCTGAGGATTATTTCATTAAAAATTAATAGACTTTTTTTAAAGAGAAGTTTATGGTCTCAAAAAATTTGAGTGGTAAGTATGGAGTGCCCACATATTCCCTCTGTCCTACTAGTTTCCTCCACTGTTGGCATCTTGCATGACTGTTACATTTGTTATGATTGATGAATTGGTATTGATGTATTATATTAGCTGAAGTCCATTGTTTACATTGGGGTTCACTCTTTGTATTATATAGTTCTTTGTATTTAACAAATGCATACTACCATGTATCTATCATAAAGTACCATGTAGACTAGTTTCATTGTCCTAAAAATCTGTGATATCTGTGATTCACCGTCATCTTTTCTCTTATTCTGGCTCCTGAACCCCTGGCAAGCACTGATCTTTTTAATGTCTATAATTTTGCTTTTCTTAGAGTATTTTAAAGTTACGCTCATATAGTACATAGCCCCATCAGACTGGCTTCTTTTACTTAGCAATGTGCATTCAAAGTTCCTGAATGTCATTAACTTTTTTTTTTTTTAACATCAGACTTACTTGCTTTATTTTCAGTAATAGATGTTATCAGAATTTGGAGATTGACTGCATATCAGAAAGCATGTGTCTAGGGAAAAATATCTGATTTATCTTTTTTTTTTAATTAGTTGTTCAACTGAATGTCATTAACTTGATGCCCCCCTCCTTTTTTTTAAACCACCAAGTAATCCACTGTTTAAATACAGAAGAGTTTATTTGTCCCTTTCTGAATTACCCATTTGTAATTGAGTCATCTATCTTATTACTTAATTGTAATAATTCCTTGTATATTTTAGATACAAATCTCAGAAAGATGTTCAGCAAGATTGCAGTATACAAAATCAGTGTACAAACAGTTATATTTGATTGACATATGCAGTAAACACTATACACTTTGCAGTGAACATTCTGAAAATGAAAGAAAACAATTCCATTTATAATGGCATCAAAAAATAAAGTATTTAGGAATAAATTTAACTAAAGAGGTGCTAAACTTATACTTTGAATATCATAAAACATGATTAAAAATGTAATAAAATATAAATGAATGCAAAAGTATCCCATGATCATGGATCAAAAATTTAACATTGTTAAGATGACAGTACTCTTCAAATCGATTGATAGATTCAGTGCAATCTCTGTCAGAAACCCAGATGACTTTTTGTAGAAATTGACGGGCTGACTCTAAAATTCATACTGACTTATAAGGGACCCAGAATAGCCAAAACAATCATGAAAAAGAAGAAAGTAGGAGAACTTATTTTCCAGATTTCAAAGTTACTTAAAAAAAAAGATTCCTACTTCTACTGGGTCTCCTCTAGACCTTATGGGCTCTTGATATGGAACTATAGTCTCATGTCCAATTTGTCCAAAATTTCTTGATTTTCTTGTCTGTATCCTTAACCAGTGCCCTTTTGCATACCCATTTTGATCTTGATACATTCTACTTAAAGCCTTTTCATTACCCTGTAGCCCTTGCAGGGGTATGTAACTCACTTGAGCTCTGGGAGCTAGTGAGAACATGTGGGTCCTTTGTCTGATCTTTGTAGTCAGAGATTATTGGGTTAATAAGCTCAGGTAGTAAATCATGCTGTGTTTTCTGTAGAGATAGGCAGTAAAACATTGACTTTCCTGTCAAAGGTAATGGTGATGTCTATTTAGTTACTGCCTGTAGAAAGTTACTGAAGAAATTTGTCTGCTTTTATTCATACATGGTATATAAAGGTGATTGTGGGATAGATGTGTGACTTTTACATATTAACAGTGGAGCATTTTGCTTGTTAAAGGATCTTTTCTTAAAATACCTCAGTGATGACAAAGAAATGACTGCCATTATATCATAAAATTAACATTTAAATTCCTCTTTTTTCCTTTTAATTGTATCCTTTCTTTTTGTGTTTGTTTGCTTTATTGTAGAAAATAAAATTTTCCTGATCAGAAATTCCAGCTAGGGAAAGGGAATTGAATACTGGAGGTTCTTCCGTTGTTTTGAATTACTACTAATTAGTGTAATTTTGCAGTATGTCACTATGCCACTTTAATCTCCCTAGTAAGTAGATGCTAGAACTTTGGCTGATTAACCCCCACCTCCATTTTACTTATATAATGGATATGGATGTATATTAAAGGGGAGGAAATAAGTAGGAATTTATAGGATGTTAATTAGTCGTAACAGTTACTATGAGGTGTTCCCTTATTTGAATATTATCTTTTTGGATTTGTAGGTCTTGTTACATTGAAACACTCCACAGCTCCTTTTTTAAAAGTGGAGCCTTTTCTTCCGGGACATTATGAAGTTTTGGATTTAAAACCAAATGGCAAAGTCGCATCTGTGGAAATGGTTAAATATCATCACTGCAGGGATGAGCCTCTGCATGTCCTCTATGACAGTGTGGAGAAACTCTTCCCAGGTAATAAAAGCCCACCCACCCCTGCAGCACCCCCCACTAAAGGAAAATGGTCACGTTCTCATGCCAGTACGTTTCCTAATTTACTTGGAGGTGATTTGGCAGGCTCCCCTGTTGAGAGATTGCCATCATGGTGGAAGTGGGTGACTGTGGACCTCATTTCAATAACTAACGGAGCCCCAGCCTTTCTGGAGCTGTTTCATTTACTTTGTTTTTATAGGTTTTGAGATAGAAACCGTGAAGACCAACCTCCGCATCCTTTTTGACAATGCTGTTAAGAAGCGTTTGATGACAGACAGACGTATTGGTTGCCTTTTATCAGGTGAGGTCTTTTAAAAAAAAAAAACTAATAGTTTTTGTATGTTTGTTTAAATGAAATGATTTGTAGCCACCCTGAGGTTTGACTATAAAATATTTTTGTTTTAAGATTTAATCTTTCCTTTATTATAGGACATAAAAGTTTTTTGTAAGCTATTTAATATTCATATTAATACTGTGACTTAGAATTATACTGTTGCTGTATTATTAGTATAAGAGCTAGTTAGTACACATTCTTTAGAACTCTAGTGATTTTAACCATTTTGTATAGTTACCTTATCAAGTGTCCAATAAAAAACATTTTTCTCTTATTAAGGTTCATTTTAATTTAAAAAACTTGGGGGTCTTAAATAGTAAAACTACAGTCCAGATGTATATCATATGCATCCCTGTCTAATGCTAAGCACCTAACCAATATATTTGCTCTTTTTTTCTGCAGGAGGCTTGGACTCCAGCCTGGTTGCTGCCACTCTGCTGAAGCAACTAAAAGAGGCCCAAGTACAGTATGCTCTCCAGACATTTGCAATTGGCATGGAGGACAGCCCCGATTTACTGGCTGCTAGAAAGGTAAGGCACTGTGTACAATCAGTGACTTGAAAAAATGTGCTCTATATGTGTAATATGAAATGAATTGCATTCTGCCATCATGTAAGACAAATTACAATAAATTAATAATTTACTAAAAATAAAATTTTAAAAAACGAAAGGTAAAAACTCTGTCTTTGCCCATTATGTATTACAGCAGACTTGTTATTAGAATGAAAATCAAGCATAGATTCTATTTGTACCGTTCTTTTGATCTTAGTAATTGTTTTGAATTAAAAATGTTAAAATAGATTGAAATGCCTTTTGAATATCAGCTGAGTTGAATAGTGTCCTCTAGGTACTGTCATCTACCATGACCCATATAATCCTCACAAAGACCCTATTTCTGTACTTCAGAAAGTAAGGGCTTGGTGTGGTGGTAAGATTGTGGCTTGGGGACTAGCTTCTGGTTTCGAATCCTGGCTCTACCATAAAAGTTCTTACTTATGTAATGGATATAAAAGTGTCTATAATGGGATAGTTTTGAGGTAAAAAAAAAATATATATATATATATATATATATATGTATATATATAAAATTCATTTGAAATATGTGGAGTAGAACCTAGCATATGTAATAAGTGGTGAATATTAGCTGTTTCTATTTTTTTTTTTTAATAAGTCATAATGCTTTGACCTATGGGCAGAGGGGGCTTGTACATATTCAGTGTGGGACATCTGGTTCTTGATCTGAAAGAACTTAGAATGGATAAGAAAGAGCTAGAAATCAATCTCAATGAGCGTTGATTGCAAAACAGCCTGAGAAAATAGAAGGAGCCAAGGGCCATTCTATGTAGGAATAACACCCAGGGTCTAATATTAGACATTTTAGGAGTATAAAAAGGAGACCAAGTTCAAAGTGAAAGCACGTTGAACTAGAGAAAGATACTAGATTAATAAAATTGGTGGGGAGGGAGGGATACTAATTGGGAGCCTCTTGACTCTTAGGTTTCAGTCTTGAAGCTGGAGGGGCTGATGGGAGATTTTCTTCTTGTGGTTGAGAGGTCAGGAACAGGCAGAGGCACTTGGCAGCATGGGGCTTGAATGTGGTGGCCTGGAGAATTATTTCTTCTTACTGTGGTGACCTGGGGAATTATTTTTTCTTATTTTCCCTTGTTTATTTTTCACTACTAAATTCATCATGTTTTGTGAGGTACTATCTGTTTCATTTTCAGGGTTATTTCCTTTAAATAAAAGAATTTGAATATTTCTTTAATCAGGTGGCAAATCATATTGGAAGTGAACATCATGAAGTCCTTTTTAACTCTGAGGAGGGTATTCAGGCCCTGGATGAAGTTATATTTTCCTTGGAAACTTATGACATTACAACAGTTCGAGCATCAGTAGGTAAGATATTTTATGTTATTAAAAATTTTTTTTTTAATATTGAAGACAAATAATGAGGTTTTAAAAAATTATTTCAAGAATTAATGTGTTAGCTTTCTTCTGCTGTGACAGATATCTGAAACAATTAATTTAAAAGGAAAAATGGTTTATTTTGAAGCTCATGGTTTCAAAAGTTTCAGTCCTAGTCAGTTGGCTCTGTTGTTCTTGAACATTTGCAGAACATTGCAAAAGAGAGCACATGTTAGGGTAAAGCTGTTCTCCTCATGCTGACCCAGAAGGAAAAAAAGGGGAGGGGCTAGGGTCCCAATAACTCCTTCCATGCACCCCCACTCATCTACTTCCTTCCAGTAGCTCCCACTTCCTAAAGGTCCCACTGTCTTCCAGTAGCTCCACAGGCTGGGAGCCGAGCTTTCAACACATGGGCCTTTAGTTTAAGAAATGTTATTTAAGAATGAGTTCATGGGGCTGGGGTAGTGGCTCAGCAGTAGAGCGTTCGCCTAGCATAATTGAGGCCCTGGGTTCCATCCTCAGCACCATATAAAGCAATAAATAAATAAAATAAAAGTAATGTGTCCAAGTACAACTAAAAAATAAATATCTTAAAAAAAAAAGAATGAGTACAAAAGTCCTATATTGCAAATTGTTTAAGATCACTTAACAATTCCATGAATTTCTTTTGGAGTGAAGGAAATACTAAATGTGCAGTTTAGACTCCACATTTATGTTGTCACTGTTTATATTTCCCCAAAGAGTGGATACAATTTTCCACCCTTTTCCCTCCTTGTTTCTCTAGTTTCACTGTGTAGTTTCTTGGGCTATCAGTTGGCCTTCTGTATTTGTGAGTTCCTCATCCTTAGATTCAACCAACCGAGGATTGACAATATTTGAAAAAAAAGAAAAAATTAAATCTGTACTGAACTTGTGTAGACTGTTTTTTTTCTTGTCATTATTCTCTAAGCAGTATAGTATAACAACTATTTACATAGCATTTGCATTGTTTGTATTAGGTATTAAAAGTCATCTAAAGATGACTTAAAGCACAGGCATACTATGCCTCAGAGCGATTATGATTTCAGTTCTGGACCTCTTCAGTAATGCAAATACTACTAGAAATTGAATCATGAAGTTTCTGATTTCCCAGTACATAAAAAGATATATTTACACTGAACTGTGTGATCTGTGAAGTATGCAACTGCATTGTCTGAAAAATATATGTACATTAATTATAAAATTCTCTATTGCTAAAAAATGCTAATAGTCATCTGGGCTCTTGGGAAAATAAGTTTGTAAGAAACAAAATATCTGAATCATAATAAAACTAAAGCATAATAAAATGAGTCATGCCTGTGTACAGTAAGTTATGTGGGATTATATGCAGATACTGTCCATATTATATAAAGGACTTGAGCATTTGTGACTTTTGGTATTCACAAGGAAGGGGTCCTTGAAACAGTCCCCCATGGATACATGGATGGAACACTAGTCTTTGGAAAATGGGGAATTACGTGCATGTTGTAATTTATTTTCCTTAAGGAATTCTTACTTTAGATGTATTTTGGTAAATATTCCATCTACAATTTCAGTCACTAGCAGTTATTTAGCTCTACAAATAATGTTAGTTTTATCTGATGGATACATATTGATATAGAAAATGTACCCCAAATCAGAAAAAAGCCAATGTTGTTAAGCCTGTAAAATAACAGTAGCTTAGATAATCCTCTTTTTAAAAACATTTAACTTGGAGGACAAAAAAAAAAAAGAAAACTCTTGCAGTGAGTAAGTAGATACACAATTTATCTGTGTTACTGAAATTTAATGGGGTTGGGGGTGGGATTAGCAGGGGGGGTTTAAAAGTTTCCCTTGAGGAGAGGGAGGTTATTAAAAGAAAGGTTTAAAAGAGACACTCGGGTTGTGTATTTAGCTCAGTGTCAGTGGCAGAGCACTTGTCTAGTACACACAAGGCTCTGAGTTCCTCAGCCCTGGGGGGAGGGAAAGAGAGAGAACACTGGTTTAGGAAGATGTGGAGCAGGGATCAAGCAGACATGTTTGAATAACTTATGTAGCTGCCTTAACTATATAAAATTTGTAAATGGGAGTCTTGGGTGAAGTCAGTCCAAAAAAATTAAAACTAAACTATTTCTGTTAGTGTATTTTATGTGACTGTAATGAAATACCTGAGGTTACATAACTTAAAAGGAGTTAATTTAAGTTGAAGTTTGGAGGCTGAAAGTTCAAACAGTGTGGCAGCCTGGCAAGCCCCCAGCTGTGCCACCTCATGGTGGATTGCATCCAGGTGGGAACATGCATGAGAGTGAGAGATTACAAGGAGAGACAGGAGGCCAGCACTCAGAAAAGGACTCTTTTAATAATTAGCCCTCCCCAGAGCTAAGAGTCTCATGAGAACTACATTAGTCCCTTCCCTTACACGGGGATGTCTCCATGACCCACCCAGCTCTTAGCATGCCCACCTTTTACAGATCCCACCACCTGTCACATGGCCACACTATAGACCAAGCCTCCAACACATGAACCCTTGGGGAACAAATGACATATCTAAATCATAGTAAAACCCTTATTTTTGTGTATTAATACCAGCATGTAAAGCATGATTTTTATGTGTTTGAATATTATTCAGTTTAGCAAAATTTCAAGGTATATGTTCTTGGTCTAAAAACATTAGAAATTTTAAGCCTGTTTACAAAATTGTAGAATGATTTCTGGCTGTTTATTGCAATGGTACAACTTTTGAATTAAGTACATATAAATGGCTTATCTGTGTAAGGTCATTATTTTGGAAACTATTTTCTGTTAATACAAAGTCTAGTATAATAGTAAAGTCTGCAGTTGTTTCTGAAAGCCAAATAAAAAGATATTTTTGGTGGAGGGTTATGTTGACATTAACATTGATTTTTTTCTTATTTAAGGCATGTATTTAATTTCCAAGTATATTCGGAAGAACACAGACAGCGTGGTGATCTTTTCTGGAGAGGGATCTGATGAACTTACGCAGGGTTACATTTATTTCCACAAGGTGAGCACTCTGAAGCAGAGGACATTTGTGCTAGTAGGAAACATTTGACTGTTCTATTATCTGTCCTTTTCAGTGTTAGCAGTGACTTTTCTAAGTACCTTCTGAATTTATGAGGAAATCAATAGTGTCTGTTTCGTATTTCTTTGGGGAAGAAAGAAGTCTTAATAATAGTATCAGATGATTTTCATTCTTTAAAATGAACGAAGTTACAATCACCTTTCTATATCTTCATCTGTTTTATCTGTTGTAATGTTAGCAGTTGTGGTAGGTGTGTTTTATAAGGCATTGCCTGTCTCTAACCAGACATTTACTCCTGTCCTTCCCCTTGCTTTGCTTTCTATCTTACCTACCTTTAGTGTTGGAATATGCTTAAAAGGGAGAAGTAAAAGTAGTTTGGTGTGCCACAAGCAAAGCTGTTGTTCTGTTCTTTCTTTGTAAAATAGGCACCTTCTCCTGAAAAGGCTGAGGAAGAGAGTGAGAGGCTTCTGAAGGAACTCTATTTGTTTGATGTTCTCCGTGCAGACAGGACTACTGCTGCCCACGGGTAACTTGACAATTGTTTAAAAAAAACAGTCTTCAAAAATGGAAAAGATCAGTGGTCAATTTTTTTTTCCCCAGTCGGTATATATGTTGTAAAGTATGACTTTTATGGAACAAATGAAGCTGGTTTCTTAACTTAGTCCCCAAGAATTGGGCTGAAGTCAAAGTGCTATTGTGGTAATGGGGAGGGATCTTCTGTGGGTTGCCTCAGACAGTTTCCATCTTTAAAGTTTAATAACATTCTACATCTGACCTACAGGGAAGGCAGCTACAACTATTTTTAAGTCTTTTTAGAAAAAGCTAAGGCTGTAAACTCCATATTAACAAGTATTGAGTGCCCACCATGACTCTTTGATGCTGTAGTGACTTTAAGGGCACAAAGATATAGAAGGTTTGATTAGATTATAAAACCAGGGTTCTTGTCCCCCTTGGCTAAAGTTTTCATGTTTTAACTGTTCATTGGAGAAGTGAAGACTCTTACTGTATGTGATAAACAACTGACATTAAATATTTTAGTTTCTTCTACTGAATCACACTTAGTTTAGGAAATAATTACATGGGAGATAGAGTTTAGGAAATAATTACATGGAAGATAGGGAATGAGCCTGATGCATGATTAATACCCTATTCTGTCTATCCTAACCAGGGTCATTAGGATTCAGGGCACAGATGATGTGGCATTTGATGGAATATTGTGAAACATTGGTTTCTTTTGCATACTATATGTGAAAATATTAATCAGTGGTAAAAAAAAAATACTAAATTGTTATTGCAGTTGTTAATAAGAGAAGAAATTATCTCATCTAGAAAAAACTTGGAGTCAGTTCCAGGCAAGGTACATTCTTAATTATCAGCTCACTCATGATCCTTAACTTTTTCTGCTTTTCAAGTTATACATTTAACTTTTCATATAAGGGAAAGTAAAAGTAATAGTCTCAAAACGATAATCACACGCAATAGATGAAATAATATCTATTATTTTGAATGAAGATTTCTGTATTCATCTGTTAGTGTAGAACAGTCAATAGGAGGTTGTTGAAATGGCTCTATAATCCCAACATTAATCAATCTGGTTCCGTTGCTTGGAAGCTCTGAGCCTGAACCTAAATTGACAGGTACTCAATACTCATTTTGATTTAGATCTTTCAATTTTCTCCTTTAAGCCTTGAACTGAGAGTTCCATTTCTGGATCATCGCTTTTCTTCCTATTACTTGTCTCTGCCACCAGAAATGAGAATTCCAAAAGTAGGTAAAATCAACTCAACGTAAATACTGCCTGTTGCTCTCAGGTTACATCTGTGTCTTTTGCTAATGCTTCTTCTGTTTTCATGTCAGAATGGGATAGAGAAACATCTCCTGAGAGAGGCATTTGAAGATTCCAACTTGATTCCTAAGGAGATTCTCTGGCGACCCAAAGAGGCCTTCAGTGATGGGATAACCTCAGTTAAGAATTCCTGGTTTCAGATTTTACAGGAATATGTCGAACATCAGGTACGAGGTCTTTAAAAACAGTTTGTGCAATAGAATAATTTAGATGCAGATCTGGAATCTCAGTTCTTTTCATGTTTAGTTTGAATGTTTGCTGTCTGTAGGAGAGAGTCATAGTCTCTATAAATAGCATCTCTTTTAAAATAACAATTATGTAAGAAATAAGGAAAGAAGGTTTATAAAGTAGTATTTAGAATTGAAAGAGAGAGAGGGGAGGCTTACTAATCAGCACTGGCCATTTAACCCATTTTGGGATACTTACAGACATTAGACACAAGTGAATAAAATAACCTCTATGTATTAGAAATATGCATGTGAATACTTTTTGAAAGTTAACTATAGCTGTGCATGTTATGGATATTGTAGCACTTTCCAAGTGATGTGTGTACAATTTATTGTCATGCTTTCTCTTTATTTTGGTTTTGTGGTAACAGCAAACATAGGTATTTCCATGCCATTTAAAAGGCTATTCTGCTCTTACACTCTTATTCTTACAGGTTGACGATGCAATGATGGCAGCTGCAGCCCAAAAATTCCCCTTCAATACTCCTCAAACTAAAGAAGGCTATTATTACCGTCAAATCTTTGAACAACACTATCCAGGCCGGGCTGACTGGCTGACCCATTACTGGATGCCCAAGTGGATCAATGCCACTGACCCTTCCGCTCGCACTCTGAGCCATTACAAGTCAGCTGCCAAAGCATAGGCACTCTCCAAGCTGTGAAGTGAAAGTAGATGTTTCTTCTTGGGGTGTAGAGGCACTGGGGACAGTCAGGGGAGCAGTGAAAGTCAACCACTTAGGCCGACTTGGGCATGAAAAAAATAAAAGTCATACCTAAAACTTTGTTCTACTCATTTGTATTCCTACAGTTCTGTCATTAGAGGTAACTAGAAATGGAATAGCTGTGCCATATCACAGTAAGGAGGATACAGTGAGCTAGGCCAAGAGGGAATGGTCTGATATCTACAAGAACTGTTTGGAAGATGTCTGGGCCTCATGCACATGTGGTCTCCCAGTCCTTGTCTCATCCTAGTGTGGTCCTCTTGTGACTGCCCTCTTAGTTCTGCCCACATTCCTTACAGCTGGCTGCAGATGTGAATCCTTTATAGGAGTTTGGGACCATTCTATTGTGTAATATAGTGATTCAGTTTTTTCTTTTGTAGGTTGAGCCATTGACCCTCCTGGAGACTATTTTTCCAGAACTGAGGTCAAACTTGTAAATGAAGTGATCTTTGGTGCGATTGTTCAGCTCTACTGTTGTACCAAAGTGGTTACATGGACAATACGTAAACTAATGGGCATGGCTGCATTCTATTAAAACTTTATAAACAGACCTCGGTCCCTGTTCCAGAGCAATAACCCAAGCTGTGCATTTCCAATAAAAGGAACAAAAGTAGGTTTCTCCTAGTTGGAGAAATAGGAAATTCAGAAACATTTAATGAAAGGTAGATTTTTTGTTTGAGTGCTCACTGGTTTTTTCAAGACAGCATATTGAAATACATAAGAAAGGTGAGTTTAGCTATTAAAGACTTTTGAAAAGGGAAGCGTTGGTACACAGGTAAATATAAGAATGATTGATGGGAAAAATGGGTAAGCCAGAAATTTAGTAAGTTGGAAGATGAGGAATTGATGTTAGCTGTAGGCCTTCATCTATAATTTAGAAATGTTTCCAAGAATCTAAAGAATGTCACTAATATTGGATGACTTTTAATGATTGTCTTGTATGTGTAGGTGCATAAATTGTTTAAATACAGCATGATTTGTCTCTGGGTATGTATTCCTGGTAAAGTGTCACCTAGCCAAGCTAAGTGGTGTTAAGAATGCTTGGGAAACTTGGTTGATAATGATAACACAATGTACATTGCAAGATTAAGTATGGCGTAAACCATAAACTGCCAGTTTGTAAGGTTGTGGGGTTTGACTTCACATTTTTAACTTTAGTGACTGAGATCTGGAATATTCAGGTACCACCCAGAAATTTGATGGTTGAGATAACTTCGTTAAGCCAATTTCCTATCATCAAACTGGCAGCAACTTGCTAGATTTCAAGCTACAGTTAAGATCCATGTAAGTTTTTTTTTTTTTTTTCAGGTGGTGGGGGTACCATGGGGCACTTGACCACTGAGCCACATCCCCTGTTTTGTATTTAGAGACAGGGTCCCACTGAGTTACTTAGTGCCTCGCTTTTGCTGAGGCTGGCTTTGAACTCGTAATCCTCCTGTCCCAGCCTCCTGAGCTATTGTAATCATAGGTACACACCACTGCGCCTGGCCCATTTAAGGTTCTTGGCACACATTATAAACTGGCTAAAAGTGGAAATCTCTGGGGCATGTTCTTGTGACTCAGCAACTTTTAGATTGGCCAAGCCTGTTTTCCTGGAACATTCTGGTCTTGGTAATTCAGTGATGAGGAGGCACATGGCATCTAATACACACAGCACCATAACAAAAAATTGTTTTTGAGGAGTGAACTAAAAGAACAGCTGATGTGATCCTGTCATTTCTGTCTCATGAGCACTTTATAATAAAACAGCCTGCTGCTTGAAGTTCCTCTCACTTTGATCTAATATCTGCTCTAAAAAAGGTATCATATAGTTTGATAGTCTTTTTATACTTTTATTTTTTAAAAAAATGAATGTGGGCTGGGTGTATAACTCAGTGGTGGAGCACACACTGAGCACAAGGACCTGCGTCCAACCTTCAGCACCAAGAAATAGAAACTACAGAATATCCTACCACTACTTTTAAAGAGTTCTAACACATCCTTGCAGATCTCTTGCTAAAAAGACACCATTGTGCATGTGTGGATCAATTATGTTGTATAACACACAGCTTGAAAGTATATTAAGTCTTTCATAAGGAAAATATAGAAAGAAGCTAGCTAATCCTGAGCTTGTGAGCCTTCCCACGGATGACACCCTCTTTTGGAAGTTTCCTTGTGTCAAGATTGTTGAATGAATAGATCTTGTTGAAGCCACAGGGGTCAACCGTACTCCGTCATTCCTCCTGTTTGGGGGTTTCCTTGGTTTGGTCTGGGGTCTGTGCTAAGGGGTCCTTTTCATTCCCATGGATGGGAAATCTGGCTGTGAAGAAGCAGAGTGAAAGCTGATAGGGAGGTAGTTACAGAGACTAGCCATGTGTAGTGTGTGAAGCACTACCGCCCAGCACATACCCATCCACTGTCCTAAGCAAATTATTCTGTCAGTCTTCTCAACCTTAACTGCAAATGTAGCAGCTTTGATTTTCTTTAAAAGTGGCCATTGCAGTATTTGTGATCCCATGTTGCCTACTCAAGCTTTGCTATTCCTCTAAATAAGCAGTCTACTTATACTCTCTGTGAGCGTGGCAGGATTTTATGGTTGTTTTGAGTAGCAGAATTTGGTGGAAGTGAGGCTGAGTGACAAAAAGTGATTTGGGGCAGGTGTAGTGATGCATCCCTGTAATCCCAGCAGCTTGGGAAGCCGAGGCACAAGTTCAAAGCCAGCCTTAGCAACTTTTCCAGGCCCTGTCTCAAAAAAGGCTGGGGATGTGGCTCAGTGGTTAAAGGCTCCTGGGTTCAATTCCTGGTTAAACACCCCTTCCCAGCACGTGCGCGCGTTGACACACACGCACACACACACACACACACACACACAATTAAATGACTTGGCTTCTGCTTTCTCTTTGTACATGTTACAAGAAAGCTTTGGCCTCATGGAAAGGCTGGGTACAGGAGTTTGAGTGAAGGTCAGCTGTTAACTACCACCAGACTTGTGATAAAGCCTCTAGAAGTTTCCAGCTTCTAGTCTTTAAGTCTCTCACCTGAGCTCCAAGCATGGGGAGCAGAGAAGCCATTCTCATACTGTTTAAGTTTCACAAGATCTATGCATATAATAAGTGGTCAGTGATAGTGTTAAGTTTGGGGTAGTTTCTTATATAGGTACAGTAACTGGGACAGGTGAACACCATTACCCTTATCTTACACAGGTAATATAATCCGCCAGACCCAAGAGTCAATTGCTAAGTGGTACAGCCTCAAGTTAGCCAGACAGATTGGCTTCAGAGGCTTTGTACTCTTCTTTCCTGGCTATTCCTGCATTGTCATCATGGAACTGTAGCCTGTGTCTCTGCTGGGAATTGGAATACTAAGGGAAAAGGCTTCCATTGGGTTTTCTGGGGATCAAGAACAGGGAGAGCAGGATGCTGATCAGGTGATCAATGTGTGGCTATCATTTTCTGTGATGGCATAGGCTGGGTGTTGCTGAGAAAACCCCAACATTTAGGTGCATTAGTACAACAAAAGTTTGTTTTTGTTGAAACTGTGCTTATGGAGGGCTGTGCTCTTTCTCTGGGCATCCAGACCATTGCAGGAAAAATCTTGACTCATATTTCCAACATCACAAGGGAGGGGATGGAGAAAGTGGTGAATCATGTAGTACTGAAACATAAGGCTTCCACTCTGAAGGGACACATCATTTTTGTTCAGATCCTGTACTAGTCACATGGCCACCCCTAACTTTGGAGAAAAGCACCAATGACTCTTCAAATCCACTCTTTGGACATCAAATAATCTGTTCACCTTCATGTGTATGAAACATATTCACCCCCTTTTCAAGAGTGATAACCTAAGAATTCCATTCCACCATGGTTTTAGGTCCTGAATTCAGACTCTGTGAGTGATGTACTGACAGGGGAGTCTGTTTCAGGGCTGAAAAGTGGCATTTCTTCATGAACTAAGAAACTACTCTCCACCTGCCTGATATCTAATAATAATAATAATAATGTAATAATAATAATGTAATAACAATGCAGTGGCAAACAAAACACCTATTCAAAAGGGAGAGAACCAGAGTAATTTTGATGTGCTGCTAATTCACCATTTAAAGGCTCCCATGTTCAGCAAAAAGTTGTCCTTCAAGGTCATCAGTAGCCAAGATGGCAGGAAGAAGCAGGAGTGAAAGGGCTGGGGGAATTCAGTACCTGGCATGGGGGGCAGTGGGACCACTTTGATGAGGAAGGGCTGATTTCTAGCAATATTATCAATAATATTAATTGATGATTCTTAGCAGTACAGCTAATTTTGCTCAGACATTCTAATTTTGGCTACAGAAAAATAGGTATCAATTATTGATCATCCTTCCCAATTGCTGAAGATCGCTTGAGCTATCATCAATCAACACAGCAGCCTGGGGAGGTGTGTACTCTTGAGCTCCTTCTCATTTGATAGATAAGGGAGGTGGTATACAGAGTAAGTATGTTGCCAGCTTAAGGTCATATGGCTAAGTATTGGGAGTAGGATATTTGATGCGAGGTTTCAGGGTTTTAGAAACTTCCTACTATGAGCAACCTTTCAAAGGAACAGAAATATAAACTGTAATTATGGAAAAAATTCTATATTTTAAACAGGAGTATATATTTTCACTCTATGAGTATTTCATAAGCTATTTAGCACATCTAATTTAAACTCAATTTTCTATTTCCATTTTAAAAATTGGTAGTAAACATATATAAGTACACTTATGATTAGATCTTTTATGAGTTTTCTTGATTTCAAGACCTAACTAGCCAGTAATTGGGTGCCAAGAAATTAATTCATAATTTTCCTTTCAACTCAAGAGATTTTTAGATAATGCTGAGGGTAAAAGCCATAGTTATAAATTATCAGTATATTTTAAAAATTGCTTCAGTATTAAAATATATGATTGCTGAGGACTAATAATACAAAAAAAAACCACAAGGTGGCAGTCATGATATACTTTTCTCTTTAGTCAATTTTGTGCATTTCTCAAAGGCACTGGTGTGGAAAATCTATTTTATGCTAAATTGAAGAGAGGACATGTTCATTTCATTGGACAAATCCAAGCACAGATGCTCCATAGGTAATTATTGATCAGTTTTAATTCAATAACAATATGGCTATTGTACAGGTCCCTATGAGCTTATATAGGTATTTTTTTCTGAAACCTTTCATTTCCTCTTTTCTGAATTCTCCTGTCCTAAACATACCTGCAGAAAATGCGTCCTTTTAAAAATGAGGTCACTTATAATCTGGAAGGTAAGAAAGGATGTGGACAACCCCAGATTGCTTTATTTACTTTATGAATGTAATTAAAATCTGCATAACTGTCATTTTCCTAATCACCCATTCTACCTAGCCCTGACCATCACAGTTTATTCAAATACAATCAAAAGACAAAACATTTATCAGTTATTGATACATAATACATAACTTTGCACATAATATCAGCTAACGTACTGTGTGCCTAACACTGGCCTAAGCCCTTACTCAGTGTATAACACCTTGAGAGACACCTACTGTTGTTGCCATCCCTATTTGAAGATTAAAGAAACAGAATGCACAGCAGACTAAACACTGAATAAGATGGTCAACTTGTGGTTAATGGAATTGCTGTCAATTATAATGAATAGCACAGAAAAATATTCTATGCCAGCAAGGTGATTTTTATATGTGGTTAGATGACTCATAGAAACTTGGTGAGCCCTAATTACAATGACCATCTTTCTTTGCTGTCTTTAGTTCTCACCAATAAAGCAGCAACTCCTCTCCATTAACCTTATACTTTATGGGCTTGAGTTCTTGAGCTGCGGTTATAGTGGTAATGCTAGAAGTTAGGGAGCAGGAGGTTTGAAAGTGGAGGGACAGGGAAGAACCCTGGATATGTGTTGGTCTATTTCAAGGGTAAAACGAATGATTCATTATCCAGTAGCAGGTTTCTGGACTATGCATTAATTGACAAGATCTCAGATCAAATTCTAT